TCATGCTAGAATAAGATGCCATAGATTTGCACTATAGCTCAATTGAAATAGAAATATAAAAATAAAATTACCACTTTAGCCAAAGTATTTTTACCTTCAAATGTAATAATAATCTGTAAACACAAATTAATAAATCATGAAAACAAAAATAAATAAATCATGACAAGTTTGTTGATATTGTATTTTGAGAAACAAAGGAATCCCAAATATTTTGTGACTAACTAGTTAAATGGTTCAAAGTATCAAAAGAGAAAAGCAATTTGTGAATTTTTAGAAAAAAGCATTCTAAATTCAATGGAAAGGAAGATTCTACTAGCTTTTTAAGAAGTCTAACATACTAAGAATAACTTACTAAACTTGATTAAAAACATTTATTAAAGTTCATTTGACACAAGTAGATCACAGTTGAAAAACGAAAACAGGAGGACTTTTTAGGAACTACAAATGAACTATTTGTAGTGAACTATCTTTACTACAATGAACTATGCAGTGTTAGTTTATAGGTCTATCTTTTATTTCTAAATGTGATATACATTTAAGTTCATCCTGAGTCTGGCAATCAAGGTCCTTCAGGATATAGTCCCAACGTAATTTTTTGTCCTTCACTCCTATTATTCTCCTACATACTGTGTTAAAAACTAAACTGCTTATTAAACATACTCTATCATTTCCTGCCTTTGTACCTTGGAGTGTATTCTTCCTTTTGCCCTGACTACTTGAATAGTACAGTGTAGTGATTTTTAAAAAGAAGATTCTGGCCGGGTGTGGTGGCTGATGTCTGTAATACCAACACTTTGAGAGGCCAAGGTGAGTTCATGGGTCACATGAGCTCAGGAGTTCGAGATTAGCCTGAGCACCATAGCGAAACCCCGACTCTACAAAAAACACAAAAATTAGACGGGCGCAGTGCCGTGCCCTCGTGGTCCCATCTACTCAGGGGTCCGAGGCAGGATAATAGCTTGAGTCCCAGAGATGGAAGAGCCGAGACCGGGCCACTGTACTCCAGCCTGGGAGACAGAGTGAGACCCTGCCTCAAAAATAGATAAATAAATAAAATAATGAAAATAAAAAATAAAAAAGAAGATTCTGGAGCCACACTGCCTAAAATGTTTGAATCTGGCACTGTCACTTACATAGGCCAAGAATAAATTTAAACTAAGGAAAATTTAAGCGTTTCAGTAAAAACAAAATATATTACTGTCTTTTATTTGAGAGTTGGTCATTTAGAAAATAAATTTTCTAAGCTCTTTGTTTTTCTTTCTTTCATTTTCTTTTGCTAGGCCAATGCTAATGGCAACATTTTCCAGATAGAGCCTTTGATTTTCCCACATTAACCTGAGTACTTGGGGTCTTCATAAATAGAAGCATGATTGGACCATCTACTAGCCACAATGAGCTAAAGCAACTGACACTCCAGAACCAGCTCATTAACCTAACACTGGAGCCAGTCAGGGGCTGAAAAAGTTCAACCAGGTTGGCTCCAGACCCACAGCACTTAAGCAATATCAGTAACCTTGAGTTAAAGTCAGACTGGTTGTAAGGCTGGGATCATGCTTTCTATTTTATTTGCCTCCATCTACAGTATCAATAAAAATGGCTTTTGACATCAGTTAATTGTAGAAAAGTCTAGGTAAATTAGTGAAAACTCTGAATTACAGACTATTCAAATAGTAAATTTTATTAATTAAAGTATATATAGTAAATAAAATCAGGGTGATAAAGAACCACCAAGCAGGGCTGGGTGCGGTGGCTCATCCTGTAATCCTAGCACTTTGGGAGGCTAAGGTGGGCGGATCACTTGAGGTCAGGAGTTTAAGACCAGCCTGGCCAACATGGCAATACTCTGTCTCTACTAAAAAACACAAAAATTAGCCGGGCATAGTGGCGGGCGCCTGTAATCCCAGCTACTTGGGAGGCTGAGGCTGGAGAATCACTGAAACCTTGGAGGTGGCCGTTGCAGTGAGCCAAGATCATGCCACTGCACTCCAGCTTGGGTGACAGAGAGAAACTCTATCTAAAAAAATAAAAAATAAAAAAAAAAAAAATTCACCAGGCAATATCCTTTTGGAACTTGTTTAAGTAAATAGATATATCCCTATGTAAAATACTGACTTTAACACAATGATTTGAAAGTACTGAAAATCTATTTATTCTCTAAATAAATTTGGCATTTCTTCTGCAACTTCATATTTTTTATTTATTTTTTTCAATCAGCTTTCCTAAATTGAAGCAACTTTATTTATATAGTGCCTTAATTTAGCAATTCCTCCTTTAAAATTCTCCTGAGAACACAAAAGTGACATCATCTCTGCCTATGTCTGAATTAAATTATAATATACTGACTAATTGCTTTCTGCTTTGCATTATTTGATAACTATACTCATCAATGATTTCCCACCTATTAAAAATAATTCATTTTGAATGTATCATTACAATACTAAGAATGGTTTCTTTTTCCTGTCTCTAACTTTCACTACCATAAAATGTACTAACTCATAAGTAACTATGGGAACTTAACAGTTTTCGTTTCAAATTTAAAACATATTTAAGGAAGATGCTTTTTGAAAGTACCTGGAATCTTTCATAGAAAAAGAGGTCAAGAAATTAAATAGTTATTGATTATTAAATTTAAAAAAAGTGTCTTTTGGCTAGGCGCGGTGGCTCACGCCTGTAATCCCAGCACTTTGGGAGGCCGAGGCGGCGGATCACTTGAGGTCAGGAGTTTGAGACCAGTTGGCAACATGGTGAAACCCCGTCTCTACTAAAAACACAAAAATTAGCCAGGCATAGTGGCGCGCGCCTGTAATCCCAGCTCCTCAGGTGGCTGAGGCCAAAAATCGCTTGAACCTGGGAGGTGGAGGTTGCAGTCCAGCCTGGGCGACAGAGCGACACTCAGTCTCAAAAAAAAAAAAAAAAAAAAAAAGCACCTTTTGATTTCAGATTTCCTCTATTTTAGTCATTTATTCATGAGGAGTCTGTACCATCCCAATTCTTTTTGAAAAGTGAGTTTTGTTTTTGTTTTTGTTTTGTTTTTCTTTTTTTTGGAGACAGGATCTTGCTGTAGACCAGGCTGAAGTGCAGTGGCACGATCTCCGCTCACTGCAGCCTCGACCTCCTTGGCTCAAGTAATCTTCCCACCTCAAACCTCCCAAGTAACTGGGACTACAGGCTGCGCCAGTGTGCCCGGCTAATTTTTGTATTATTTGTAGAGACGGGGTTTCGCCGGCTAATTTTTGTTATTACTTTTAGAGATGGGGCTTCACCGTGTTGCCCAGATGGGTCTCGAACTCCTGAGCTCAAGCGATCCCTCACTTAGGAGTCTCAAAGTGCTGAGATTACAAAAAAATTAGTTTTTATATGGAGAGGCAAATCCTTGGTTTCTGTAGGACCCATCCTGAATTATCGAATGCTATATAGTACATTTCAGACAAGCTTAATACACTTAATATTTTTTCCTCTTTGTTTATCTATCTGAAGTCTCATACTCCATCTCTATCTAAAAGGAAGTTGGAGGGACTTCTTTTTAGATAGAGGTGGAGTATGAGACCTCTTTTGTTTTTGAGACCATGTCTCACTGTGGCCCAGGTTAGAGTGCAGTGCCGCCATCACGGCTCACTGCAGCCTCGACCTCCAGGGCTCAGGTGATTCTCCCACCTCAGCATCCAGGCAGGCAGGCGCCAACACATCCGGTTAATTTTTATATTTTTAGTGGAGACCAGGTTTCGCCATATTGCCCAGGCTGGTCTTGAACTCCTGACCTCAAGTGATCTGCCCACCTCGGTCTCCCAAAGTGCTGGGATTACAGGCAGGCGCCACCGCGCTTGGCCCGGCAAATTTTCTTGCTGTGCTTTAAATTTTCTCCCCGAGTCCTATTTTTTTTATTTCTTTAGGAAATATAGTCTCTGTTCTGAATCCTTATCACAAGAAGCTCTTAAGGAGTGATGACTCCTCCCTCTTTGGTCAAACTAGACCTCTCCCTTCACTCAGATTTAATTTTTTTGGTCATACTTCCTCATCTTTTGACAGTTACAGTCAAACGACATGTAATACTTTCCCAATCAGCCCTTGGCGAGTAGTAGGTTTTGTAGGTACAAGTAGTCTCTGCACAGTACACTCGGGCCCACCAAGTGAAGGTCTGACCACTTCTCACTCCTCAGCTTATCTAACCAAGCAACACTGGAACTCTCAGGCCACAGCGTTCAAGTTGTCGCACAAAGGACATTATTCACATAGTGAGTACTGGGGCCATTTTTTTTCCCCAGTCTGAAGTGTTATATCCCCCAAAACATTTCCTAACCAAGGCATGCTAGGCCAGGATAAATCGTGCCTGCACATATAAAACAGAAGGGTACAGTGGCACATATAAAACAGAAGGGTACAGTGGCTGCTCCAGTTTGGAGCACCCAGATCCTCCTATAAGAGAATATGGTTTACATTCCCAAATTAGTCATTATTAATGGTAAGGGAGAATCAATAAGTGCATGTGAGAGTTGAGAGAAGACCAGTTGAGAAACCTTCAGATGTTCATTTTTGCCTTCTGACAGTCGATCAGCACCCATCTCTCACTCACATCCTGTAAAACCGAGTTTTGTTAAAGCAGCGTCCTGCTTCTAGAGTCTAGGATAGCGGGATTTAGGGAACGGGTCTCCTCTACCTTGTTCAAGTTGTGGCTTTTTGGGGTATCTCTCAGAGTTATGAACATCTAGAGTTTTCCCTAGTTTTTCTGATAGCCACGGCATCTGAGGACCCTGTCTTTTCCCCTCCTAAGGTTCGAGTTTCCTCACCTTGGTCAGTTTTCCGGTCTCAGGCTAGGCTCCGAAAAGACTGTGGAGAGCGCGGCGTCTCTCTGTTGCTAGGGTAACAACTTTGTTTTGTTCCCGCCCCCCACCTGCCAACCTCCGGGTTCCCGCTTGACTTTTCTGGCCAATCATAGAAGAGTCTCATCTGAGACAACACTGGAATCGACCAATCCGAGCGCGTCCAGGTCAGGGTCACTAGTCGCCCTTTCTAGTTAACCAGGTCGACCCCTTTTAAGCCTCAGTCTGGGTTAGCTTCGCTTCAGCGGGAACCTGCCCACAGCGGAGGCCGGTTCTTTCCGGCTCGAGCAGGTCCGGACCCTCCCCTCTGGCGGCTACGCAGTCTCGGAGGCTTGCTCGTATAGTTCAGGGCCAGACAGCGAGCGGCGGCGGCTGCCACCAAGGTAAGTTTGTGGGGTTTTCATTTGTCCCCTTCGTCAGCACGCTTCGCTCTCTTTTACGCTTTTCCCGCGCGTGAATTCCCGATCTGAGGACTCGATCTCCAGCCAATCTGGAGAGGCGGGGGCAGAAGGGTAGGGGCAGTGGGCCGGGGGTTGAGAAGGGTTTGCTACCGTCCCCCACGCCCCCCGCCTTTCGCGTCTCCCCCACGCGACAGAAACACGTATTGTGCTTCCGTCCTGGCTTGGCGCGTGCGATCGTGTTTGTATGTATGCAGGTGGGATCGCATTTTATTCTTCTCTGTGGGCAAGCCTTCCGGGCCCCAAGTTCCCAGGGGAACACCTGGTCAACTGCCACCTGGTTCCTGTGGGGCACTGGCTTGAGCTACGCGTCGCTCCCACTCTAGGGAAAATCGCGGCTCCGGGAGCTCTGCTTTTCCCGCCTCGGAGTGGAGAAAAGCAGGCGCGCCGCTCGCTTGCCACTGCTAGGGAATCTGGTTGTCTTAAGTTCACTTAGAGATAGAGTTGTTACTCTAGTTTCCCATAAATTCCGTGGCTTGGTTTTAAACAAAGGGGCGGCGGGGGGATGGCGTAATAAATGTTTACAGTACTTAGGACTGATTAGCCATGATCAACAGTAGGACCCCACAGATGGTTTTAATGAATGGTTACTTTTGGTTATTCAGGTATTGGAATTTGATTATAAATGAACTAAACTGCTTCCTTTCTTTATACCATGCATTTCTTAACGACCATCCCATCTGGCATAGGGGATAGTGAGGTTTGATTAATTTGTCCATTCTACTTGTTATTATCTACGGTAAACAAAAAGTGGGGATAGAATAAGGTTATTGGCTAAAGCAACGTTATTGGCCTTTTAGCCAACTTACCAATACCTTAATTCCCCTTATTACTGTGAATGATCAGAATTTAGGTGTCTTACATTTTGCTAATTCTTTAGATACTTGTGGAGCTTAAATTATAGATATTATGCCATCTCCTTTTTCTTGCTTTTTTGTTTTTATTCTGCCTCATTGTGCATTATTCTAAGTCTGTAATGCTCAGCCGGTGTTTTTCAGACCTTTTGACTGTGACCAACAGTAAGAAATAAATTTTATATTGTGGCCTAGTACATATGTAGACAATATATAACCGACAACCATTTTTACAGAAACAACACTTAACATTTACTACCTGCAATATACTCTGATAATTTCCATTACGTTTTAAAAAATGTACACCACAACCCCCTAATGATTTGTCCCTAGATCTTTAGTTTCCAAACTTGTGTGTGCAGTTGATTTAAAATTTATTGAAATAAAGAATTTATTTAAGATGCAGATTGCCCTGGCTCCCTCCAGAAATTGGTTCTGTGGTCTAGTGGGACCCAGGAAGGTATACAATATAGCATATATGAAATACTTGGTACAGTGTCGGGTGCACAGGTGTTCAGTGAATATTAGTTTTCTTCTTGGGGAACAAATGTTATTTATCTTTAGGGATATAATAAACTCTTCAAGGTTTCATCTGTCTCTGGCAAGGTGGCATCCAATACTAAGAACTGTTTTCCCCAGGTAGAGGAAGTGGCGGGGTGGGGGATGGGTCCAGGATCTGAGATTAATCTTTAAGCAGTTGGCTTCCCTGAACAATGTTGGAAATACAGAAGCTCAGAGGCTGAGGAACACAAGGATTAGAGAGATTCTGTAACTTTCCCAGGACCGTGCTGTCGGTAAGCAGAGACAACTGAATTTGACTCCTAATTCGGTTTTAAAGTAATGAAACTTGAGAGATCTAAAATATTTTTTAGAATACACCCAAAGGTTTCTGTGGATTTATAGCTATGAAAAATGGATATAGTTTAGCTAATTCTTTTATAATATATAGAGTGTTTTAAAACACTGGTTAAATAATTTATTAATGCAACATTGAAAGAAATTAAAGATGAAAAATCACTCAATTCTGCTACCATAATATAACTGATAATTCTGTTCCCCTCCTATCATTATCCATATGTACCTATGTTTTTACATGATTGTGATCCTTTTTCATGTACTTTTTTGTTATTTTTATTTAATATTGTTTTGGAAATTTTTTTCCATGTTGTGATAGTCTTTATATTTTGCATTATTAACAGCAACCTAATATTTCATAGAGTGAGTTGGCTATAATTTACTTAGCCTAACTAACCAACAACAGAAAATAAGACACTATGTGTGCTTTGAAAAGGGAGATGTAGCCAGGTGCGATGGCTCACACCTGTAATCCCAGCACTTTGGGAGGCTGAGGCAGAAGAATCACTTGAACTCAGGAGTTCAAGACCAGCCTGGGTAACATAGGGAGCCCCCATCTCTATAAAAAATATTTAAAAATTAGTCAGGCTTGGTGCCATGTGCCTGTGGTCCCAGCTACTCAGGAGGCTGACGTGGGAGGATTGCTTGAGCATGGGAGGTTGAGGCTGCAGTGAGCTGTGATTACGCCACTGCACTCCAGCCTGGGTGACAGAACAAGACCCTGTCTCAAAAAAAAAAAAAAAAAGTAAAGGGAGATGTGAGAGGTGCTAATATAGTTATTCCATGATGTCTTGGGTTATTTAAAATCATTTCTATAACTGTATCTTACATAACAGTGAGCTCAATAGGAAGCCTAACAGGAAGGCCAGATCTAGATCTGGGCCTGAGCTGGGAGTTTTTGCCCCTCTTGGATGTATGAATTTGACAATCAAGATTTCTATGTGCTAGAGCAGGCAGTGATCAGCCCTGGTGTCCTTTATACATATGAGTTAGGTTGAATATACTTTTTTACTTTTTTTGTTTTGTTTTGTTTTGTTTTGTTTTGTTTTGTTTTGAGACAGAGTCTGCTCTTTTGCCCCAGCTGGAGTGCAGTGGTATGATCACAGCTCACTGCAGCCTCGACTTCTGGGGCACATGTTACCATACCTGGCTAATTTTTTTTTTTCTTTTTTGGTAGGGACTGGGTTTTACCACGTTCCCCATGCTGGTTTCGAACTCCTGGGCTCAAGCAATCCACCTGCCTCAGCTTCCCAAAGTGCTGGGATTACAGGTGTAGCCACTGTGCTTGGCCCAGCAGCATTTTTTTTTTTTTTTGGTCAGCAGTGTTTTTGAGATTTTTAAATGCAAATAAAGTTATTTTTTATTGCTATATAGTATTCCAATATATGACTAAATCACTTTTAAAAAAATCTCCATTCCCTTATTGCTGTTGGACATTTAGGTTGTTTTAAATATACAGATAAGATTCATATAAATCACGCAAATATTGTTATGATTCCACTTGCATGAGGTACCTAGAATAGAGTAATTCATAGACAGAAAGTAAAATAGAGGTTACCAGGGGCTGGAAGACGGAGGAAAAGGGAGTTAGTGTTCAGTAGGTACAGAGTTTCTGTTCAGGATGATGAAAACTTTTTGTCAATAGATAGTTGTGACAGTTGAATAACATCATGAGTGTACCTCATACTACCAAAATTGTGCACTTTAAAATGGGTAAAATGGCAAGTATTATATGTATTTTACCACAATTAAAAAACTAAAAATTAGAAACATAAGAATTATGTTTTTTTTTCAGAAGCATATGTTTAATTGCTTTATTTTCTGTGGAGTGAGGCCATGAAAAAAGCGAACATCCTATTAAAAAATAAACTTTAAGTTATATTAGCCAGATCTGTTTTTCCTTGTAAATAATAGTTTTTGAGGTCTTTATATGACAGCTTTTCTTACTTGTATGTTTGTAAAAGGTTTTTATGATTATCATTCTTCAGAATTCTCCAGTTTTTTGTTTTTTGAGGGTTTTTTTGCTCTACTTTTCCGGAGTTTTGGGGAAGATTCTTATAAATACGGGCATACCTTTGAGGCTGTCTTTTGCATTTGACTGCTATTCACCAGTTAGTTTCCTTAGCTAGTTCTTTCAAGTATTTTACTCACTCTCCTCCCCTCTCCTACCCTCTGCTATTCCCTGCCCTCTCTTGCATTCCTCCACCCCCTTTCCAAGCAGCCATACCTCTTCTTAGGTCTTCATGCCCACACATACGCTCTGCCCTCCCTTGGGTCCTTCTCAGCTCCTCCAAGATTCTCTCTCTCTCTCTCTCTCTCTTTCTTTTTTTTGAGACGGAATCTCGCTCTGTTGTCCAGGGTGGAGTGTGGTGGCGCGATCTTGGCTCACTGCAACCTCCGCCTCCCAGGTTCAAGCGATTCTCCTGCCTCAGCCTCCTGAGTAGCTGGGATTACAGGCACTCACCACCACACCGGACTAATTTTTGCATTTTTAGTAGAGACGGAGTTTTACCATGTTGCTCAGGCTGGTCTCGAACTCCTGACCTTATGATCTGTCCACCTCGGCCTCCCAAAGTGCTGGGATTATAGCCGTCAGTCACCATGCCCGGCCTGATTCTCCCTCTCTTGATTCTTTCTGGCTTTGGTCCCACTCACTCCTTTTCCAATTTTGTAACTGCTAAAGTCTCTCACTGAAAATGAGCAATTTACAGTCTTCAGCAATATCACACTTTTAACATTTGAAGAATTGATCCTCGTTTTGGGATTAAAATAAAAACTTTTTCTAGGTCTTAAAATTAGATTCTGACCTTAAGGCTTTGAGAAGCTATAGTATGAAGGGGGAAAAAAGAACTTAATATGAAAGATAATCAGCAAATTATACTGCTTAAGATGTTTGATATGAACTTGAAACCAATGCACCATTTTCAGAAGCCCTATATTTTGTTTTGGCATAAGATGATTACCATTTGAAGTTTGATCCCTCTCTGTTTCCTTCAAAATGCCTGGGCTAACTTCACCTCTCCCTATCAATTTCTCTCTGGGAACAGAAACATTTAGAGTAAGACATTAGTAATTCAGTTTTTACTTCCAGAGTTGGCATGCATAACTATTACTGACAAATAGGGTCATTACTGTGCTTTGAGGCTTAGATTTTTCTACTTTCTTCTTGAGTACTTTTTCTGGAAGACTTTATATCTCGGTGGTGCAAGGGGTTTC